AGACCTACTTTTTTTTTTTTTATCACATGGGTTCCCCCCAAAAGGCAGGGTGGCCGAAAAAGAAAAACTTTCACCATCATTCACTCCATCACTGTCTTGCTAGAAGGGTGCTTTACACTACAGTTTTTAAACTGCAACATTAACACCCCTCCTTCAGAGTGCAGGCACTGTACTTCCCATTCCAGGACTCAAGTCCGGCCTGCCGGTTTCCCTGAATCCCTTCATAAATGTTACTTTGCTCACACTCCAACAGCACGTCAAGTATTAAAAACCATTTGTCTCCATTCACTCCTATCAAACACGCTCACGCATGCCTGCTGGAAGTCCAAGCCCCTCGCACACAAAACCTCCTTTACCCCCTCCCTCCAACCCTTCCTAGGCCGACCCCTACCCGCCTTCCTTCCACTACAGACTGATACACTCTTGAAGTCATTCTGTTTCGCTCCATTCTCTCTACATGTCCGAACCACCTCAACAACCCTTCCTCAGCCCTCTGGACAACAGTTTTGGTAATCCCGCACCTCCTCCTAACTTCCTAACCTGAGCCTCACTATCCTCATAAAAACTCTTTACAGCATTTAGTAACTTACTACCTATTCCATATACAGTGGAACCTCTACTTGCGAGCGCATCCACGTGCGAGTTTTTCCAAATACGAGCAGTCGACAGGTTGATTTTTTGCTTCCATACGCGAGCAAAATTTCCATATGCGAGCAGATCTCAAGGCTGGTTCCTTGACACTGGTGAGGGGCTCTTGCTCTTGATCTAGGGAATTTTATCTCATTTGTTTGTCGGGCTATCTTATTGAAACTTAGGCAATGTATGATGGAAAAATGCTTCTTAATGTACACCAAAAATGAGAGAAATCTATGCATAAATAATGGAGTTCACTTCTCAGCAATTAGCCACCCCTTAGCGGTATTTTCGTATGGTTTTTATGGTTGTATTCTCGGTTTTTTTGGTCTCAATTGATAGAATTGAAGATATATTACAGAAATAGATATGATTTTGATTGCTTTCATGATGAAAAGTACCTTGAAATAGAGCTCAATGTAGGAGAAATGTTCGATTGTTTTGGCTATGTTCAAGAGTAAACAAATGTCTGTTCCAACTGTCTATTCCAATATGCAGTCATGAATGGGTTAAGTAAGTTTATTCAGGTATACACAAATACAGTTACAGATTGCCATACACAGCAGCATATGTACAGAGAACCTAGGATAATGCAGAGAACCTAGGATAAGCCAAAAAAGACAAAGTGATTTATTTCCATTGATATTATTTATACAATTACAATAAGGCATAAACAGTCAATCTTATATTTTTTGTGTGAATAAAAATTACAATTATTTATATTGTAATAATAATAATAATAATAATAATAATAATAATAATAATAATAATAATAATAATAATAATATGTAATAATAATAATAATATTAATAATGACATATTTTATTCATTCTAGAGTACACCTACCATCCGACTTATGACCAAGTTCGGTTCCGAAAAAAACCGGTCATAAGTCGAAATGGTCGTAAGTCGAACTTTACTACTGAATATCAACAAAACATTTTTGTAATGACTATTTTATTGTTTTATTTTGGTATTTCATGTTTTACTTTACTTTTTATGCTGTTAGTACTGTATTTTAATACTGTAAGGTTTAGGATAAACACTGTGTACAACACAAATAGTTGTTTATTTACCAGAAATTTGGCATAAAAAACACGGTCGAAACGTCGAGTGGTCGTAAGTCGAGCAGGCCGTAAGTCGGATGGTAGGTGTATATGTTGGACTATCTTATTGAAACTTGGGCAATGTATGATGGAAAGATGCTTCTTAACATACACCAAAAATGAAAGAAATCAGACCATAAATAACGGAGTTCACTTCCAGCCATTAGCCGCCCCTTAGCAGTATATTTTCGTATGGTTTTTATGGTTATATTCTCTTTTTTTGGTCTCATTTGATAGAATGGAAGATATAATACAGAAACAGATATGATTTTGATTGTCCAATGTCCAACTGGCCAGTCTAATAATGGGTTGACATTATTTATACAATTATTACAATAACGCAGTGGTCTACATAACAGTAAATCTTCTATGGTAAGAATACGTACGTATTGATTAAAAATAATAATAATTATAATAATAATAATAATAATATAATATGTAATACAACTATAATAATTATAATAATGTTTATGTACGTACTATGTATAATTTAGTTTGAGCATGCCACCACGAGATGGCGGTGCATATCAAAACAAAGAGCAGCAGTCCACATGTGCTTACGGAGCTTACCACGCGGGTGAAGGAATACTCCTGTTTTTCTTACGTTTCGTGCAGTTATTTCACGCAATTTCTCGTTTCTAACCATGGGTCCTAAGAAAGCAAGTCCACAGCAGAGTGCCGAAAAGAAAAAGAGGACGATTACCATGGATTTAAAGCAGGAAATCATTGATAAACATGGACAAGGTGCCAGGGTTAAGGATTTAGCCAGACAGTACCAGCGTACATCTTCTACAATATGTACAATACCCAAAGCAGAAGTAGTCTATAAAGGCTATAGTGCCAGCAAAGGGCATTAAAATAATGTCTAAAAAACCGGACCTCTGTCAATGAAAAGATGGAGACTGCTGTTGATGTGGTTGAGGGAGAAGGAGCTCGCCAAAGATACCGTGACTGAGGGTATCATCTGTGAGAAGGCACGAAGCATTTACACTGATTTGCTGCAGAAGTCCCAGGCACTTCAAAAGGGCGAGGCATCACAAATGTCATTTAAAGCCAGTCGGGGATGGTTCGAAAAGTTTAAAAGGAGGACCAACATTCACTCTGTCATCAGGCATGGTGAGGGAGCAAGTTCTGATTTTGGGAAAGGGAGCTGAGAGTTTTTCAAAACTTTTGCAGAAGTGATAGCAGCTGAAGAATACACCCCTCAGCAAGTTAACTGTGATGTGACAGGGCTCTTCTGGAAGATGATGCCAAGGAGGACTTGCCTAACTGCAGAAGAGAAGATGATGCCAGGCCACAAACCCATGAAGGACAGGTTAACCCTTGCATTGTGCGCAAATGCGAGTGGCGACTGCAAGATCAAGCCGCTGCTGGTATATCATTCAGAAAACCCCCAAGCCTTTAAGTCGCATAAGATTCTAAAAGAAAAGCTGGACGTTATGTGGAGGGCAAACCCGAAGGCATGGGTCACCAGGCAGTTCTTTGTGGAGTGGGTAAACCTGGTCTTTGGTCCTACCATTAAGAAATATCTCCAGGAAAATAACCTACCCTTGCAAGCCCTTCTCATCCTGGACAATGCACCTGCTCACCCACCGAACATCGCAGATGACATAATCGAAGAGTTCAAGTTTATAAAGGTTCTCTACCTTCCACCCCAACACCACCCCTATCCTGCAGCCTATGGACCAGCAGGTGATTTCCAATTTCAAGAAACTCTTCACCAAGCACCTGTTCACCGCTGCTTTGATGTGACAGAGAACACAAATTTGACCCTTCAAGAGTTCTGGAAGGACCACTATAACATCGTGATATGCCTCAGAATTATAAATATGGCCTGGCAGGGTGTTACAAGGAGGACCTTGACCTCTGCTTGGAAGAAGCTGTGGCCTGAGGTTGTGTCTGAAAGGGACTTCGAAGGATTCGAACTCGAAGAGCCAGTGGTGGAGGAGATTGTGTCCCTTGGAAAGGTCATGGAACCGGAGGTGGGTGAAGATGTGAATGATCTCATCAAGGAGCACTCCGAGGAGCTGATGACGGAGAAGTTAGATGAACTACATAAGCAGCAGCATCAGGAGGTTTTGCAGGACATTCGTACCGTAGAGGAGGAAGGTATGGAGAGTATACCTCTACAAGTGAGATAAAGGAAATGTTGGGAATCTGGGAGAGATTATCAGGCTTTATTGAAAGGAAACACCCAGAGAGTTTCAAGTGGTCGTGCACTGGACCTATTTAATGACGCTTGCACGAGTCATTTCCAAAACATTCTGAAAGGGAGAAGAAACAAAACCTCCTTGGACAGTTTTTTTTCTAAAATGCTCTGCAGATAAAAGTG